TTGATATCACAAATTATTCTTTATATATATATATATATATATATATATATATATATATATATATATATATATATATATATATATATATTTATATATTAAAGATGATAATGTGCAAATATTTTGGGTTGAAATATGGATATTTTTTATTTTAAAAATATATTATACTCTGTTTTTGATAATTATGGAAAATAGAGTATAATATATATTTTAAAAAAAATTTCAAATAAAAACGTTTTCGGTTTATCTTCTTTGTAAAATATATACTTTTCTCTCGTTGGAACAAGTATAGTTACTTTTCCAATATATCTATATATATATATATATATATATGTGTGTGTGTGTGTGTGTGTGTGTGTGTGTGTGTGTGTGTGTGTGTGTGTGTGTGTGTGTGTGTGTGTGTGTGTGTGTGTATTTTTTTTTTCATTTTTAAATCGACACATTGCTGGGGTTGAACTCTGAGAAAGAACGATGGTGAAAAAGAAATGCAATTTTATTTACGAATATTAAAAATATTTTTAGTCAGACAAAAATAATTTAAGCGATAAATTGTAAAATGTTTCTACTGAAATTGCTTGAAATAACTCTTTAAATGAAAATTCAAACCAGGAAAATAATTTAAAAAATAAAATTAATTAACAATGGATATTATTACTTGCATTATCTGCATTACTCGGACTGTTACCCTCATCTTCATTGCCATATTCACAACGTTTCAGCCGTTGTACGCTCCGGCCTTCTTCAGGTGATTAGAATTTCGAATAAAGGGTTCCGTTCGATATTCCAATCACCTGAAGAAGACCGGAGCGTACCTCGCCCGAAACGTTCTGAATATGGCAATGAAGATGAGGATAACAGTCCGAATAATGTAAATAATGCAAGTAATCATAATACCTCATCTCAGAGATATAGACAAATAATGAGTATTATGATTTCCTTTGACAGCACAAACTCTGTACGTACATGCGTATACATTGAGCACTTCAACAAGGTGCAATGATTAGCAAGCTTGTCTCAGTTACGACTAAATAGTGAGTTCGACCCTCACTGGGGGGTCGATACATTCGGCCTTGTGCCACATCTAAATTGCGCTTAGAAAATCAGCACACTTCAACGTGGTGTAATGGTCAGCTCGCTAGATCAATTACGACTGAGTATTGAGTTCGATCCTCATTGGGTACCTCATACTGTCGGCCTTGTGCCACATCTAAGCAACGCTTATCAAATCAGGGTACTTCGACGTATTGTAATGGTTAGAAAGTTTGTCTCGCTCGATCAATAATTGAATAGTGAGTTCGATCCTCACTGGGTGACCTATACTTTCGGCCTTGTGCCACATCTAAGCTACGAGATAAAAATGATTTTGGTTACTTTGACGTTGGGTAATGTTTATCAAGATTGTCTCACTAGATCATTTCCGACTGAATAGTAAGCTGGATCCTCAGTGGGTGCTCCATGCTTTCGGCCTTGTGCCACATCTAAGCTATACTTAGAAAATAAATTTCGGGCACTTCGACGTGGCATAATGGTTAGGAAGCTTCTCTCGCTAGACCGTATAGTGAGTTCGAACCTCACTGGGTGCCTCATACTTTCAGCCTTGTGCCACATCTAATACAGAAAATCCCACTCCAACAATTTATTTATATTCCGTTTGATTTTCTCATTGTTTTTTTTGTTTGTTTGTTTTTTTGTTTTTTGTTTTTTTTTAATTATTATCATAATGTTTCGACTGTTGTACCCTCCGGACTTCTTCAGGTGTCTGTCGATTTACTCAGATTGTTCTCGTTCAGCTGTCAATGTCCCGCTATACAACAGCGTTCTGGATTATAACTTTGGCTCGTATATTTGGTTTCATAGTAATATGAGTTCAATCCCGAACACCGTTACATAACAGATATTATCGCAACAAGGTGGGGGAACTCGGGGGGGGGGAGGGCTCCGACACGGAACAGATACTACAACCGCAGCATCTACTCCTTTACAAATAGAATGGGCGGGGAGAGCCCGATATGAGTTCAATCCCTGGGCTGGGTAGAACAGAGTTCGACCCTGTGGAAATAAGACGATCTATACTAAAAAGTACAAGATTAGATTTCCCGAGATAATGACAAGCTTTCTCCGAAGACTGGCTGGATTGACAGACACCTGAAGTATGCCAGAGGGCGAAAATAACAATAAAGATGTGGATATTAGTCCGAATGTAAATAATGACCCAACATCCCAGAAATTCAGACAGAAGTCCGCAATGCGGTCTTGTTTTGTTGAAATCCGTGCAGTAAAGGAAACCTTAAGAAAAACTATAATCACCGAAATGTTTCGACCGTTGTGCTCTCTGGCCTTTCTCAATTGTATTCCGATCTGAGTACCTTTAAGAATTTCGAATTAAAAACTTTATTTACAGATTGAAAAATCTATCAGAGAGATGAAATTTAAATTTTTATTCTTGCATTATTCCAAAATTTTAACACTCAGCAGATATTTATTAATATCAACAACTGAGCACAAATAATTAATTAAGAAAAAAAGTAATTAATGTATGATTTTAAATTTATTAATTAATAAAATCAGTAGAGTCAGAATCGCTTTTGTATCCGAATTTTCATAAGAATCTTTGTGTAGTTCTTAAGTTTAATTTAAAATCTTTTTCATCATTTTCATCAAAATTAAGATAGCCACGACTTAGAAGAGAAAAAAACATAACGTCCTTCGCAACAGTTCTTGTTTTTAATAATCTTTTATTTCTAACAAAAGAGCTTATTTTAAATATTACATCATGTGAGATTATTCCTTTTATATCAAGCCTTTTCTATAGGATGCTAACAGATATTAAAAGTTTAAAAAATGACCATAAATACGTAAAAAATGCGTATATTGTCTAAAAATTCCTTTTTCCACAATATAGCTATTTGGCCTATGTTATAATGTTTATTACCTAAACAATAATAATATTAAATATTTTTTTTAAAAAAACATTAAAGTATATTTCATCACATCTCCCTAATAACTGTCGCGATCTGTAAATTTTCCTATTTTCTGGACATAAATTATGTAGAAATTGTCCGAATGTTTTGTATGCTATGGGTCTTTTTTTGCATTTGTTACAGTTTTAGCTGAACCAAATTTTTTTTGTTTACAGATGGCAACATCTATCAAAGAGATGAAATTTAAATTTTTATAATTGCATTGTTCCAAAATTTTAACACATCAGCTATTAATGTCAACAACTGAGCACAAATAGTCATTTAAAAAATTAGTAATTAATGTATAATATTATCCATAACTACATATACAAGAATGTCGTTTTTGATAAAAGTTAAAAATAACTATAAATGCGTAAAAAAATGCGTATATTGTCAAAAATTGCCTTTTCCACAATATATCTATTTGTGCTGTTATAATGCTTATTACATAAACAATAATAATATTAAATATTTTTTTAAAAACATTAAGGTATATTTAATCACATCTGATTAATAACTGTCGCGATCTGTTAGTAAGATTCTATTGATTGAACGGATATCTTTTCAAGAATCGAACAAATAAAAAAAAATAATGTTCAAGGGCTTACAAGAGTCGCTATAATTGATTTTGTCTCGGCTTACAACGTTCTTAGACTTTTACAAATTATCATTTGATTATGGTGTTCCTAAAACTACAAGTATAACCGTGTTTTCTTTACTATTCGAAACAACAAACATTAGTTTTTTCGTGTGTCCTTAACCTGGAATTTTAATATATTTTCTTTTTATAAATCTCTTCAGATATTTTAAATCTACTTAAAAAATTTTAAAGTTTGAAATGTCGAAGATAAAGAAAATTTAATATTAATATTCTCTTTATATAATTAATGAAATTATTATCTAATTTTATTTTATAATTTGGTTTACGATAGGATAAAGAAAAAATAGGAAACGTTTATAAATTAAGCATGTTTCACTTTTATTAAAGCTTCATCAGAAAAGGAAATATGGAGAAAGAAATCCTGGTATTTTTATTTTTGTGTTTATTTTCATTGGTTAAGCAGGCTTCACGTGCATTTGACTTATTAAACAACTTTAGTATATATCATGGCGTTCCGAATTCAAGGAGAGACGACGCTTCCTTTCGAATCTCCAAGAAATTAACGGATTCCAAGGCTAATTAAAAATACGTAAATATTTGAATCTTTGCGTAGTTCTTAAATTCTCTTCAAAATCTTTTTCATCATTTGCATCAAATTTAAGATAGCCACAAGGAAAAACCTAAAATCCTTCGCGACAGTCCTTGTTTTTGATAATCTTTTATTTCTAACAAAAGAGCTTATTTTAAATATTGCATCATGTGATATTCCTTTTATATCATGCCTTTTCCTTGGGATGGTATTAAAAGTTAAAACTAACCATAAATACGTAAAAATGCGTATAGTGTGGAAAATTCTTTTTTCCGCAATATAGCTACTTGTGCTATGGTATAATGTTTATTACCTAAACAATAATAATACTAAATAATGTTTTTTTTTTAAAACATTAAAGTATATTTAATTACATCTCCCTAATAGTTGTCGCGATATGTTAATCTAAAAGTGGCCCATGTCCTTTACGATTATAATTTCGCCTTTAGGATTCCCGTTTTTAAAATTCGGTTTTGGTTCACAAGTTTTAAATTCTGATTTAACCCCCATTTTTAACATTTGATTTAGCCCCCTCTATGTTTACCATCCGATTTAGTCTCCCCACTTTTACCATTTCATTTATCCTTCCATTTTTGTCATCTGATTTAACCTCCCCATTGTTAAAATATGAGTTAGCTCCCCAATTTTAACATCCGATTAACCATTTGATTTTGCCTTCCATTTTTGCCAACAGATTTAAGCTCCCCATTTTTAAATATGAGTTATCTCCCCAATTTTAATATCCAATTTAGCCTCCCCACTTTTACCATATGATGTAGACCCTATTTTTAATATTTGATTTACATTTTCTACTGTCAGAAAATGATCTAGCCTCCCTATTTTCAATACGATTTACGGCCATATCACGTTGAAACACCAATTCCTATACGATCAACGAAGTTAAGCAACGTCGAGCCTGGTCAGTACGTAAATGGGTGATCTTTTTGGGAATACTCGGCGCTGTAAGCTTTTGGTGTAATGGATAATGGCTCGGAATTGTTAACCGGAAAACCGAGTTCTAATTCCAGTCGGGTTCGTTATATACACTTACGCGCAAATACCCTTGGGAAATATATGACTCCACCGCTTCTCCCCCAGATATTGGTTAATTAATATCTAAAAAATAGAATTGCATACAAAATATTTAGATTTCTGTATTAAATAACCCATAGAGGTGTTGATATGCCGTTAAATAAAACAACCGTTCAAACAACACTTATCTACCGATAATACTTACCTGGCCCCTTCCCGGTAGCGTCATCATTTTTCAGTTGCGTCTCTGTTTTCGGGCAGAGTGTGACTCAGTTGTGGATCTGTCCATGGACAGAGACGCACCCAGGTAGGGGATACTGAGAGGTGTTCGGTCCCGGGCAACGGCTGCCCGCAACTGTACTCACCTCATTGCACTAGAGAGACGGGGATCGGTAGTCATTCCGATGCCAGCATAACCGACGGTTGCGGGGGTTGTACAATTTTGGGCCCTGGCCCGGGTGTACGCGCTCGGGTTCCTCACACTAAACCCTACCTTGTATCGTACCACGACTCAATAAGGAGACGGTAATATAATAGGTTAGACTATAACACAATATCCTTTTATTTGTCTACCTGGAAATTCTAAACGCAGGTGGGCTTATATCGTAGAAGGCATGAAAATAATAAAAACATTTAGGGAAAGTGATCTTTCAAGATTTAACCCCTTCTCCGGCGTCGAAAGTCAGACCTAGACAAATAAACAAGTCAAAAACCGGCTACAGACGTGTTTATACGTTAATCTTGATTCCTTTTATGCCCTTCTGAGCTTAAAACGAGTCCAATTGTCAACTCATACGTCTTGTAGAGGTGTTAGCCACCCCTCGTGTATTTCAAGGTACCCCTGTTCATTGTTGATCTTGATTCTTTTTATGCCCTTTCTGGGCTTGAAACGTGCCCTGTGTTTGCAACGGCTCGGGTACTTTAAGGCGCCTCTGTTCTTAGTCGATCTTGATTATGTTTTTATGCCCATTCATAGCTTGAAATGAGTTCTGTGCTAGCCACCGCTCGGTTACTTTAAGGACCCTCTGTTCTTAGTCGATCTTGATTCTTTTTATGCCCTTCTGTGCTTGAAATGAGTCCACTTGTCTACTCATACATCTGCTAGAGGTGTTTGCCACCATTAGGCTACTTCAAGGTGGCTCTGTTCATAGTCGATTTTGATTCTTTTTATGCCCGTTTCTGAGCTTGAAACGAGTCCAATTGTCAACCCATACTTTTGGTAAAGGTGTTAGCTTCCATTCAGTTATTTCAAAGTGCGTCTGTTCTTAGTCGATCTTAATTCTTTTTATGACCTTCTGATCTTGAAATGAGTTCAATTCTTAATTCATACGTCTGGTAGATGTGTTACCCACCGCTCGGATACTTCAAGGTACCTCAGTTTCTATATTAAAAACAACAAAAAAATCGTCTGAAAATGAAACGTTTTTTGCATAAATAGGCTTAAACTTTTAAATCTATAATCCACAGATATTATTGTTTACATTAATACAAGAAGTTTCAATTAGCCTTTGAGTGTTCTTGTTGCTGTTAGGGTAGATCTTTTAGCCTCATAATAGTAAAATAAACCCAATCTCTGAATATATGGTAAGTTACAAGACAATCAAAGATGCACTTCAGTGAAATTTCTCTCCTTAAAATCTGATTTCATGTCATAAAATTTGATATTTTTTAGCATAATTTATTCTTCATTTCTTCCCCGCTGGCTAAGGAATGATTTTAAAGAATTTGGATATCATTCTGGATAATGATCATTACTTTATAAAAGACCGTAGAGCGTCCACTGTGCTTCTTCCTAAAACTTGTTCTGTCATCCATTTACTCAAGTGTGTCAAGCATGTTATATGTTGTCTTTCTCTGCCCATTTGCTTTCAATCTGTCCCGTGAGTATCAGATTTTCCAAGCCTTCCTTCCTCATTACGTGCTCTAGAAATCTCAACTCTCTCTTCCTCTACGTTTCATTTTTGTTTCCATGTTCTCCCAAAACTTCAGCCAACGATATCCTCATCATCCTTCTGTAGAACAACATTTCTGTTGCTTCAAGTCTTTTCTTCATTTTCGAGGATATTTTCGAGCAATCACTGCCATACAGGAGGACTGATATTACATAACAGTTAAGTACTCCTTCCTTTGTTTCTGTTGCTTCAAGTCTCTTCTTCATTTGTGAAGAAATTGTCCAACATTCACTGCCATAGTGGAGGACTGATATGACATAACAGTTCAGTACTCTTTTGTTTATTTCTGTTGCTTCAAGTCTCTTCTTCATCTGTGAGGATATTGTTCAGCATTCACTGCCATATAGGAGGACTGATATGACATAACAGTTCAGTACTCTTTTGTTTATTTCTGTTGCTTCAAGTCTCTTCTTCATCTGTGAGGAGATTGTCCAGCATTCACTGCCATATAGGAGGACTGATATGACATAACAGTTCAGTACTCTTTTGTTTTGTATTTACTCTTGCTTCAAGTTTCTTCTTCATCTTTGAGGAGATTGTCCAGCATTCACTGTCATATAGGAGGATTTATATCACGTGAAAGTTAAGTATATTTTTCTTTGTTTCTAACGAATTTTTTTTGTCTCTTAAAACTCTGGTTATCTTTTGGAATTATATCCAATGGCTATCTCAATGCCTCTTCGGATTTCAGTGCCACACTTTCTGTTCTCTGTTAGAAAACTTCGCAGGTATTGAATTTTTTATGTTTGGTTGATTTTGGGACAAATTAAAAAAAAATATCGGGTGGGTTAATTTAGATGTTAAAAGTAGAGAGGCTAGATTAGGTGGATGCAAAATCATAATTTTTGAATGAGGGACATTAACTCAGGTGTTAAAATTAAGTAAATCCTCTGTTTATAATAAACAATATTAAACAACATTTACCGGCCTGAATGTCCGAGAAATTTTCATAGAAAACATGCGTCCTTCGACAGAAAACGAACCTGTATCCTATACGGAACCGTCAGAAAGCCTGACGGGCTTTTACCGATTTCCCTTCAGAGGAGCGTTCCGGTTAGCAAGCTCGATTTTACTGTTTTTAAACTACATTTCTCCATGATTTTCTCTCGGACATTCATATCTGCTCGATGCGTATCCAAATGTAAACAAATGACGTCACGCATTATGAAACTCCAAGGCACTTGTAGACTTGGACAGAAGTGAGAAGAAAAGAATTATAGTAACCAATGAAGATTATCCGCATTAATAAACAAAAATAGAGGGAATTAAAACTATTGTATTAAGCATGAATTACCGAGAACAAATCATATATATATATATATATATATATATATATATATATATATATGTGTGTGTGTGTGTGTGTGTGTGTGTGTGTATATATATATATATATATATACACACACACACATATATATATATATATATATGTGTGTGTGTGTGTGTGTGTAGTGTTAGTATAACAAAAACATTGAAGTCAACACCCTGCGGCGACAGTCTGTTTCATGCTTATACGTCAGGCGATATGCGATCTGTTTTTGCTCGACTATTTATATATACAGGTCACTGAAGCATTGTGAGTAGTCTGTTGTATTAATTTATTTACTTATTTATTTATTAATTTATTTACTTAGTTATGACTTTGAATACAAACAAACCAATAAATAAGTGAATTAATTAAATAATAAACAAACAACGAACGCACACATAAACAGACGGAAACAAAATAATAACCAAAGATAAAATAATCAATAATAAACAAACACGCAAGACTGTAAATAGCCACAAATCTGCACTCGTTTCCATAATTATTTCCACACAATAACCCCGAGAATAATCCGAAACATAACCGATAACGCCCAGCAAAATAACCGTTAGAACAATTCAACAGACTGACGATATTCAGTCACCCACACCCACCCACGAGGGCGTTATGTGGCACAAGGCCTTTTTAACGTGGGATCTCCGAGCCCGTGGGCTCGGCCAAAAATATGTCCATTGAACCCGTATAAACGGGTTCAGGGACGGTTTACCTCCCTGAAAGAGAATCCGCCCTTCGGTTTAGCCTCCTTCAGGTTCCTCCCCGCCCGAAGGCAGAGAGTTCAACCGATCTGTCGTTCAAGAGTTGAACAATTCAACAGACTACCCACAATGCAACACTGAACTGTATATATAAAGAAACGAGCAAAAACACAACGCTTATGGGGTTGAAACGAGGGTAGCATGATCGGCCATTTTCCTAATTTCATATATATATATATATATATATATATATATATATATATATATATATTATGAAATGGAGAAAGTCTGACAATTATTTTAAGACATTTTATGTTTATACATTCTTTTATAGATACAAATATTTAAGTAAATGCTTTGTTTATAATAAACAGTATTAAACAACATTTACCGGCCTGAATATCCGAGAAATTTTCACAGAAAATATTCGTCCTCCGACAGAATTCGAACCTGCATCCTATACGGAACAGTTATATAGCATGACGTGTTTTTTAACACATTCGGCTACAGAGAATCGCTCGGTTAGCAAGTTCGGTTATAAACAAAAGTAAATGGAAACAAATGACGTCACATATTATGAAATGGACAAAGTCCGATAATTATTTTAAGACATTTTTATGTTTATACATTCTTTTTATAGATACAAATATTTAAGTAAATGCTCTGTTTATAATAAACAGTATTAAACAACTTTTACCGGCCTGAATGTCCGAGAAATTTTCATAGAAAATGTGCGTCCTTCGACAGGAATCGAACCCGTATCCTGTACAGAAACGACTTATAGCCTGACGTGCTTTACCGATTTAGCCACAGAGGAGCATTCCGGTTAGCAAGGTCTATTTTAATGTTTTTAAACTACAATTCTCCATGATTTTCTCTCGTACATTCATATCTGTTCGATGCGTATGCAAATGTAAATATTTAAATGTGATATATTTTAAGAATAATTGTCTAACTTTGT